GAAAATTTTACAGGTTTGAAAATCGTATTATATTAAATAAATAAAATTAAATCTTTAATGTATGTAAATAGTAAAAACATTATTAATTTGCTTTCTTTTTGTATAGTAACATTTCATTTGGTTCAAGCTATGTTGATGTTGCCACTAATCAATGGCAACCCGGCCGAGCTGGGATTTTTGTTAACTTTGTTCCCGACAAAGGATTTATACGTTTCGCACCTACAATGTATACTGATACAATCTTGAATCAATACGATGTGTAATTATTTCATATATAAATCTTTAAATTTAATTATGAAAAAGTAATATATATATATTTATTTATTAATTTTTCGATGAAGGACTGAAGAGGGAGAAATAAAACTTCTTGCTCAAGCTTCCATAAATTTTCAGGAGAATTATAGCCTTATAAGTACAGTCGTTTCAATGGTGGATGGTAGATACGCAATTGTATTTGCAAATTCTACGGATACTGCAGCACAATTGAAAATCCTCTTATTCCACGAGGAGGAGTCTACTTTTATATCTTCGATGGTCATGCAACTAAACGAGAACCAGCTGTTCTTTACCAAACTCCAATTTCAGGATTAAAGTTTATTGACATTGATTGCAGTACTTCTTACGTAGGAATTGGACAAACTTGTATAGTAGCAGGAGAATTTACAATTCGAGCTGTTAATACAATAATATATCTTAAAATTGATTTTCTTTCAACTGGAACCGTAATAAACGTTTTGCCATTGATTAGTGATATTTCAACGAATCCATTAATTGTACGATATATCAAAACATTACCTTATGGGGGTTATTTATTAATAAGAGGTGGAATTGATAATGGTAAAACTATCATTGAAGGTTATATACTTAATGACGAAGGCAAAGTATATTTTTGGGACCTTCCAATGCCTACCGTGACAAACGTTTTAGGAGCATCGAAAATTTTAAGAAATAATACTTTTGTACTTTCCCAGCCGATAGAGAAGCCATACTGGACTTTGATCACCACTGAATTATATATATTTGAGAAAGAAAAAGGTAAGTGATAAACGCTAACAAAATAAACTTCAATTAAAATAAAAAATTTAATTTTAAATAATTTATTTTCTAGTTAATGGATATGATAATTTTCACATCGAAGCCACTTATCCAATCATTGATGATGTGATTACTACCGATATAGAGTCCCTTTAAATTAAATATTATGATGAAGTTGATTTTTCATATGGTCACATTAAAATTTTTCAAGAAAATGGTAATTTGCGCCAAATCATTCCTTGAATCAACGACGCATATATAACACAAAGTGTAAATGGAAATATAAACTACGGTTAATATCAAATTACTAAATTGCACGTTGAATCAACCTGGTAGTAGATACTATGTTTCAATTGAAAATAATTTTGTGAAGAGCCGAATTTACCAAGAACCTCTCTATGGTGTAAGAGAACATGTTTGGACATTTACGACACGTAAGTTCTCAAATTTTTTTTTTAGTTTAAGTGAAATGAGTTACTTTGAATAATTTTATATATGCATTTTAATCATTTTCAAATAGTTCCAGCAGAAGAAGAATTTTCAAAGAGCGTTAATGGTCGAGTTCGATTGACTGTAGATGGGACTTTATATTTTGATAGTCTTAACAAAAGCGAACGCAAAATTTTCTTTACGAAATTAATTCAAGAATTGGCTGATGCAATACCCGTCAGTTCTAATCGTATACCTAACAATGAAAGGGTTGAAACTGACTCTTCAATTCTTCAAAGACAAATCTTTTTACGTATTGATATTAAACATGATGAATCTAGAAAAGAAAGAACTGTTAAATTGGCGATTCAAGATTTAGATAATTTGATTAGAAATAAGCCTATCACTGTTATTGGTTCCGGGGAATATTCAAAATATCTAGATGATAGTTATGGATATAAACGACTTCGTAAGAATTCATTTTTAAGTATCATATAGCGTGTTTTTCAAAATTGAGAATTCTCTCAAATACATAACTAAATAATTTACTTATTAACTTAAACATAGCCAATAAGTGGGACTCTTTCGGATCAGGTCTTCTTGTTACATTTTTAGCCTTATCTTTATGGGGTGTACTTTTCTTGGTCGCCAGAAATGCAAGACGTAATGTAAATGCCACCAATATTATTATTATTTTTTTTTTTTTAAAAAAAAATGTTCTTTTACATATTCACATTTTATTATTTTTTAGGCAAACAATACTGCAATTTTTCAAATTGCTTTTACACTTTTTGATATTGTATTGGATTGGGTTTTTACTTTTACAAAAGCCCAAAATGTTGATGGATTATTTATCCCAAGGTAAACGATTCCGTACTAAATTGTATTAAGTAAATATTATAATAAAAATAAAAAACATTTACGATCATAATATATTTCTAGCCTTGTAATTTTGATAGGTTCATTTATCATAAGTTTAGTGTTGGCATTTATAATTGTTGACAAGGAACTCAGAAATAATAATGAACAAGCTGCAAAATTCAGAACTTGGCTTAATGAAAATAGTAAACTTGTAAATTTATTCACTATTTTGGCAGGAACCGATCTTCAAATTTTAACTATACTTAATTCAAATATAAATATTGGAGGATTTGATAAGTTTAATGCTAATTTTTCTCAAGAAACAATATATAGAATTGCTCAGTACTCTTGCATTAACATTATTTTTGAAGATATTCCTCAATTGGTTATTCAGGTATGTTTGCATATCATAACTTTTATTTTTTAATTTAATTTAATTATTTATTATTTTTAATAATATTTTCTATAGATTATATATTTTAATAAAACGGTAAATTACGATATTATACCTTTACTAACACTTACATCATCCTGTTTAAGTATATTTAGTAAAATAGTTGGACAATATTACACATTCAAAATTCAAGGTTATAAAAAAAATAATATTAACGAAAAGTCTGAGAATTCTGCACATGCTGAGGTTATAGATCCTTCTTCTAATGCTTAAATTTTGGCTAAAAATTAGATGACTTTTCTTTTATGTTAAATATATATTTGTTTGTTTAAAGTATCAATAAAATTTACGATTTAAAGTGTAAACCTATTATCCGCTCAGGTCTTTTTATTAAATGCGCATATTTAAATAGATACATAAGTATGAGAAAATTTTTGCGCTTTAATACTTCAAAAAAAGTGGTCTATCTTTCTGTAATATTAAATTTTAATGGAACCTTCCTTTAGACACATGGACGTTAGGACCGTGTGTAGTGATATCTACGGTTTAACTTTTAACTTTATTTACAATAATATTTTTGTTTAAGGAAGTATATGGTTGAAATTGTGAAATATCAAATTTGGCAAAAAAAAAAAAAATTATTTTACAGTAATGCGTTATTGTAAAATCACAATTTATATTTAAATATGGTTGGATCACGTGCTTGTATGCATAAAATGGTCCAAGATAATGTCTTTATTTTAATACGTTTTTAAGTTTTTCCATCAGATCGTAGCAATCATCTGATGTTTTCTTGAGATCGATATTTCAACGTTACACAAACAATAAATCGGATCATAACCTTTTAACGATTAATGTAAAAGATATTTGTAGATAAATTGGTATTTTATATTTCGTACTGCAAACATTATTTCGAATGTATGATCATAATAACATGTCTTTTTCGAAAAAATTTAAAAGTATTAAGCCTTTTTCGTTGGCTTTCTATATTTGTTATTTTGATAAAAATTTCTATATTTTTTAGATGATTTAGATGTGAAATGTGGATTATTTAGAAGCCATGAAATATATTAGTTATTTACCGATCTCGGCTCCGCCGTGATCCCTGATGATATCTTTTAGTTTGCAATTAAGAATTACAAGTCACGAGAACAAAATGTTTACAATTAATAAAAAAGGACTAGAATTATATGAATTATAATGTACACAAAAATTGTCCCAAAAATTGGGATTTATTTTTTTCAACTAGACTAGATGGCAGATGCAGGGAAATTCCAGTAGTAAATTTTAGTTAGAAAGTTGCATAATCAATCCTTACCGAAAAATTGTCACTAGAAAGTTCCATAAAGCCTACCAATATCAGTTGGCCATTTCAGTAGTTGCAAGGATATCATCCCACCATACTTACTTTTTTTTTTATAGTTTAGGAGTTCCTAAATGAAATAACGAATATGTAAATAACATTATAATGTACCTGCTTTTTTTAACATTTGAATAATTATTAATAATATTGCTGGAGTGACCACTTTTCACAGGAAAGAACCCGAGGTTTTCTTATGGAAAGTTTTCAGTTCTCGTTTATAAGCAATAGAGGTAGACATGATAAAAAAGATGGAACACGTTCATGATAAAAAGGAAACTAAGTTCATTGTAGGGACAATTAAGACACGAAATCATGCTGTGAGATCGACTTCAGCCAAAGATAATGGTAGTTTTTTATTTAAAGTGCTAGACCACTTTGCGGGATCGATAAAAACGAAGTTTTCTTCCAAGAATCATGACCAAATGCGAACTTCAACGAAGACAAGACCTCTTGAAGGGATCGATAATATTGGATACTGCCTTCGAAGAAAACAACATCTAGACTTACGTTATCTGAGAAAGGGGACGAACACGATTAGAACGCTTATATAAAAGAAACTAGGAATAGGAGGGTCACCCTTTAAACACGGCTATGCCATCACATCACCAACGAGACCTCTTCATAATTTTAAATGAAAATAATTTCATTGTGAGACACGATGTAGTCCTATTATGCTTTGACAGCATTGATAGCATCCTTTCTATTAACAATATTTAGACCACCTTACTGCTAAAATGACAAGAAAATGATAATTAAGTAAGTCTACTTACATGATAATACCAGTATGTCTTCTTTGGATTTCTAGATAGGGCATAAATTAGGTATTCGATATGGTCATAATGATATGCAATTTGAAAATTTGATTGCATTTGTCCCACTTTTTCCTGTAGCGGGAAAAAGTGACTATGCAAGATCAGTTACTCATTTTCTGTATATCATTTTTGAAAACCCATCTTTACAATCATTACTTCATCATGCATGTTCTAGTAAAGTATATATTGGAAAAATCCTGGTAATGGAGAAGAACGAGAAAGATTAGACATACTCTTAAGTGAATATGTTGGAGAGAATATTTTAATTCAAAATAATCATGCTCTAAAATCTCGTAAGAAAGTTCTTTGGAATTTGATTTGGTTAATCAACTTATTAATGCTTTCAATCTTACTCCCGAAATATTTAAAGAAACAATTGAAAATAATAAAAATGGATTTAATAATCTATTTACTTGCTATGAAATTGGAGTTGAATGACTTAACAATATCCATTCTCAAGAAATTAAAAAGCATCACATATAACACAAAAGGACGACGCATATAAACCAATTACAATTGAACAAAAAAAGTTAGAAAAAAGAGCGTAAAGAATTAAAAAAAAAAAATAAAAAAATAACGCAGCAAGTATAGTGCTTAATACAGAAAAACAAATTCAAATTATACATGATGAAATAAATAACGATAACGGTAAGTATAGATAATGTTTAAAATAGATTTTTTTTACATTAAATAATAACGATAATAATATAATATTATTTATTTTTTTAACATTAAAGCTAAAGTTCCAATTCAATATTATCGGCAATATTAATTTAATATTAAAATTAGCCACTTTGTATTAAAGATAAAAAATATTCCGGTTGCATAGAAATTTCTAATGAATTATTATTGGATCAACTTAACTTGCATTGCTAATTTTATTAAAAATTGATAAAAGAACATTAGTATAATTTTAACTTAAAGCTAAATTAAATTATAATCATAATTATATAATATTTAAAACGTATACCCCTCTTTAGCAGTCATAAAACTATTATTTGAAGTTCATCATTATTTTTTATATTATTAATATTAGTTTTTAAATATTAAAATAATATAAATATATATATAATTACTTTTGTATCAGTATTGTAAATTTTTGTTAACCATTTGATTTCATCTGTTCTTCTGGAGCAAATAAATAATATAAAAAATTGTTCACGTGATTTCTGTGTCGCAACGATTGAATGTACTTTACTTTCTAACTAAAAAAAAATAACTTTTAAAGTCCAAAGAATTTATATTTCTTTTGAACTATATTTTACTTTTATAGGATAATTTTATATATGTAACAAAAATAAGCAGTTTATGCAAGATCCTTTTTATATAACCAATTTTTTATTACAAATGTTTTTAAAATATGTAATTATGAAAAAGAAATTACATTTAACATTAACATTAATATTTATTTATTTATACATTTTGTTTTTGTCTAACCTGTCTTCTGAATCTTAACCAAATTTCTCGAATTCTTTCATATCCCAATGCTATCTGGTAAAGAACAGATTTCCATTAATACTTCTTTTGTTTTTTCTATCATAATTCAGATGATTGTTGTAACCTTAAAGTCATTTTTTTCAGAATTAGTTAAAGATCTAATTGAACATACATTTAGTAAAATATCGGTCGAACACACCCCGTTCAGTAACAATATTAAAGAGGGATTAGTGCGTGTGACAATATAAATATAATGCCGATCAGTAAAAAATATCGCATCGCACAATTTTATTTATTTGGTATCCCAAATGATCACCTCGGATATTAACGCAATTTTGGGCTACAATAGTATCACAAAATTGGTAATTAAGAAAATTAACGATAAATTCAGTTAATATTTAACCTTTTAAAATTTTTTTTTTTTTTAGAATATAATATGGATTACTTTTGGTCATTTTTCTTTTGCGTTGATGTTGACGAGGAAAAACAAAGAAAATTTGTCCTTGACATATGTACAAAAATTATATCTCATCCATACGAACAAGTAAATCCTTCTCTTTCTTTAGGAAATCATCATTATGGTCGTGATATGGATCAACTGCTTCAAAAAGCTTTTCGATCAAAAAATGTTAACGTTACGCACCAATTTTATTCAAATATTTATGTTGGCTACGAGGAAGATACGTTGAGAGATGTTTTACTAATAAATAATACATGGATTAAACCTTTTATTCAAAGATTAAAAAAGTTAGATAAAGAAAAAAGAAAGGAATGGAAGCAAAAATGTATTAATTCCCCTCATTCAGTAGATGAAAAGAAAAATCATTTAATTAATAATATTGAAAATATTTTACCCAGTTTTAAATATCTCATTGACTTTGAGGTGTTTATAATTTTTGGATCGGAACATGGGATTTACATTATTGTTGAAACCAAGAATCTTGATACGAATTATGGTAGAAGTGAACGATTAGTCAAAAATGTTGCTAGAAATAACTTTAAAATTCAAGCTAAAAAATATAAACAATTTGCAAATGAGGAATTTATAGTAAAAGTAATTGAGGCTTTTTATATAAATGAAAGTTTTACAATTGTAGATAAGCAAGATAGAAAAATCATCAGGATTATTAATTTTCAGCATGGTAAGCAAAAGTACATTTCTTTTTTGCTTTCCCATAATCATAATAAAATTATTAATCTTTTTTTCCTAAAGTTGTCGGAATATGGGGACTAATCTATCTGAATGAAATGTTTTTAATATTAACATCAGCATTAATTCTTGTTGCGATTGTTACTACTTGTTATACGAGAGGAATTAATGGAGTATTTGAAATAATTGATGAAATCACTTCAGTAATGTTTTAAAATAAACCTTCCGTCTTTAATTCCTTCTGTAATTTCTATCATCTCCATGAATTTTATTTCCACATATCTCGTATTAACATCTTTCGATGTAAATCAGTTAATTCTTCTCTACCAGTTTCTTCTTTTTCCTGTATCTTTTCGTTAATATACATATAATCCCTCAAAGTTTGTCAATAGAGGAATAAATAGATAAATAAACCTTATCTTCGATTGTTAAATCAATCACAGCCCTTTGCAACATAATATATATATATCTCTTTAACCTCTTGCGCGAGGGGAAGGAAGAGTAGAATTATCATCATTATTAAAGGACAATTTTCGGAATAAATAAAAATAATTATTAATTTAATAATGAAAAATGTACCCAATTTAAAATGATGTTTTCTTTATATCTAATTTTTTATTTTTTTTTTCGTTATTTTCGCTTCACATTTTTTAAAAAAACAAAAGTTAATCATCTGAAAATTTATCTATTTTCACTACTGGGTCCAGAAAGCACGTTATTCAGTCTTTTACCTAAAATTGAAATTTTCTATTTTTTTCTAGCCCAATGATTTGCCGAGATTTAATCCGACGAGATGAAAACCTAAATTATCAAATCTTATAATTACATCAAATTAAAGAACGTTTCAAACGAGCCGATACCTTTGATTAAATATTCCAAGAAGTTTTAAGGATTACATTATTCTTTAAATAAGGTCAGCATTTACCAAAGCAGCAAATTATACATCTTATTACTGCTATTAAATATCAGATTACACTGTTTATATAATAAAAAATATTTTTTTCGGTTTAATATTTTTAACAATAAAAAGAATAAAATAATTTCTTTTTTTTTTTTATTT